GCGGGGGAGGAAATGGGGGCAACCAGGCTGGTGGGGGAGGGGGGCAGTTGGGGACAACCAGGCCAGCAGGGAGGTTAGTGAGGAATGACCAAATGACTGAACAGCAGGCTGCGTGGGGCGGCCAGGCTGGCTAGGGAGCAGTTGGTGGAGACTAGACTGGTGGGAGGGTGGGGAAGGGGGGAGGACATTTGGGAGTGACCAGGCCACAGGGGATGGGGGGACAGTTGGGGGCAACCAGGCTGACAGAGGGGGGGCAGTTGGGGGTGATCAGGCTGGCAGAGGGGGGGCAGTTGGGGGTGATCAGGCTGGCAGAGGGGGGGCAGTTTGGGGTGATCAGGCTGGCGGGGGGGGCAGTTGGGGGCAACCAGACCAGCGGGGGGGGGGGCGGGCAGTGAGGGGTGACCAGGCTGGCAGGGGGGGGCGGGGTGTTAGGAGCAACCAGGCTGACAGTGGGGGAAGGGGCAGCTGGGGGCGATCAAGCAGGCTGGCAGGTGAGCAGTTAAGAGCCAGCAGTCCCGGATTGTGAGAGGGATCCCAAATTGAAGAGGGTACAGGCTGGGCTGAGGGGACCCCCCATGCATGAATTTCATGCACGAGGCCTCTAGTATCTTATAAAATTATAGAAAATTACCAATAAAAAGACTAGTCATAAAAACAATGGGAGAAATCACAAAGAAAAAGGTATACAGATAATACATAAATATTAAACTTTTGTCCATAAAAGTTATGGATGATCACATTTCTGCTAATGTTTTACTCGTTTTAAATAGCAGATTTATGACTAGCCTAAGAAACTGACTTTGAACAATTAACTATGTTTCCCAATCTGCAAAATGGTAGGACAATAATAGCATCTTCCTGCAAGCCTCTTGAAATTATTAAATTTTGGACCTCTGGCACAGAGCAATTTCTCAATAAAGGTAGCCGCTATTATATGATGCAACACAATGGCTCTTTGGAATGTGAAACTAATACTCTGCCACATAGTAACCAAAAGCCACAAAATAATAAAAGCAAATTCATCACTTCTTAGCAAGCATCAGGTGTCCCTTTCAAGGAGGACTGGTTACTGCCAAGGCTCCTAGCTCAGAAACTCAGTATCTACCCACCTCGAGCCCATCGTTTAATTAAGAACCTGGCTGTAATAGCTGCCCTCACTTTCCAATCACTCCAGGCCTTTCCTTTCTGTTGGTTGTTTCCTCTTTGCCCGAAGCTTCTCTCCTCTAAATTTAACATTAAAAAATTTATATATGCACCTCTATGTTCACAGCAGCAGTCCCACTGATCAATCAGGCTGGTGCTGGCAGTTGGTGTGAGCAGCGGCTCCAGCACCAGCAGTGGGTGTGAGTGCCAAGTGGGACTCAACACACGGGAACAAAGAATTTTTAGTAACCACCAGAGGCTTGCCCTGATGACAGCAACCAGTGCGTTGGTCTGGCACCCTCACTCACCTGCTCCACCATCCCACCACTGACACCCAACATATTCTGCACACACACACACCCTGGTGGTCAGCGCACATCATAGCGACCAGTTGTTCGTTTGTTCAGTTGTTCCTCTGCTGGTGGGTCTATAGCATGTGTGTGCATATATGTATAGATATATTTTTAACACATATTCATAAAACTCTACTGTAGTACATGTGAATCTCTTGCTTTTCTCACTTAATCCCTACCCTGGAATTCATTTAAGATTTTTTTTTTATAAGAACTATATTATTCTATCAAAGGCATAGACATAACTTAAATCCCCCATCTTTGTACATTTGGATCATTAATGGTTTTCTGTTACAAACATCCTTACACATACAATACATCTTGGTAGGCAGGAATATAATCCATAAAATAAATTATTAAAAATAAAAATGCCTGATCAAAGGGTTTATTAAATTCTAATCTGACAATTAATATCAAATTTTCCAATATGCAAGTTTTCAAGGTTTTAATCTTTATGCTTCTATCACCACTCCTTCACCAGCACTAGATGTTCTGTTTACAGTCATCAACCTCACTGATAAAAGATGGTTTCTTATTGCTATTATAATTTGTATGTCTTTCCTGAGGAGTTAGGTCTAGTACTTCTGGTTGGCCACTTGCATATATCTCTCCATTTCACTCCCAACTTCTGGATCACTATCTCTCCTTGATAAAGCTCTCTGAAAGCTAATCAATGCCCTTCTCCTCAAGACCAAGGATGTTATCTTCCTCCAATCATCAGAGCACCATCCTGGTGACATCTGACATCACTAACCACCTCTCCCAGGAGACACTTCTTTCCCGGCTATGACAATTGGCTGTGCTGGTCCTCCAGAGGGGTGAGCCTATCTCCCCCTGGAATCCTAAAAAGGAGCAAATTCCAGTGTCCAATTCTGGTTCCCTTTTCTTCTCTCTATAGCACTCTTAAAATGTTATCTAATCCCTGGATGGTGTGTTCAGTGGTTAGAGCATTGGCCCATGCACCAAAGGTCTGTGGGTTGGATTCCTGGTCAAGGGCACATACATGGGTTGCAGGTTCCATCCTGTGGGAGGCAACTAATAGATCGATCTCTCTCTCATTCCCTCCCTTCCTCCTTCCCTTTAAAAAATCAATGGAAACATATCCTCCGGGGAGGATTAACCAACAACAACAAAAATCAATTCTTAGAAATAAAAATGCCTGATCAAAGGGTTTATTAAATTCTAATCTGACAATTAGATTAATCTGACAAAAAAATGTCATCTATGTGCAAGACTTCCAAATGTCAATCCTCAGATCATCTGAGACCTACACCCATGAGTCTCTCTGCTAAAGACCAATAGAGAGAAGGATGTATTTACCATATTCAAGATAACAATCAGGATCAACACATAGGCAGCACTCTGTGCTGGACACTGTGCTTGTACTTGATACTTACTGAATCTCATGTAACTTTACATATCCAAGAGAGAACATGCCAACCTCGCTGCCCACCTTCCCAAACCTTTTCTGCTTCCTTGATCATCAAACCTCAGTTAATGGCTATGTTCCTCCCTTTTCCCCTCCTACCCACCCAAGAAGCTGCCAAATCCTGTCAATTCTACCAATAAATGTCTTTTTGTGTTGTTAATCCTCACCCTCACCCCAGGACATGTATATTTTTTCCACTGATTTTTAGAGAGGGTGGGGGGGGGGGAGAAAAGAAGGAAGGGGAAAGAAAGTAGAGAAACAAACATTAATGTGAGAAAGAGACATAAATTGGTTGCCTCTTGCACTCATCCCAACCAGGGCCAGGGATGGAACCTGCAACCCAGGTATGTGCTCTTGACCAGGAATCCAACCCGAAATCCTTTGGTGAACAGGCTGGCGCTCTAACCATTGACCACACCAGCCAGGGTGAACACTAAATGTCTTGCTGAATCTATCTAGCCTTCCGATATCCACCTCTGGCCCGAACCCCTGCTTCCTAACATTTCACCCCAATCTTGATGTCACCACCAGAGTTCTCTGCTGACAGGACAAATATTAACACTTCAACCTACGTCCTTCAAGCACATACATGATTTTTGGACATGTTTCCTGCCATCCTTCCATGTGCCCGGGCTCCAGGCCTACAACCTCAAGGCACTGCACTTGCAGTCCCCCCCAGATAGCCCTTACTAGACAGTACTCCTAGAAGCCATTGTTCAGACCTCAACACCTTGGCCCCAAGACAGCACCCACCACAATGCTGTGCATTTGGCGGGTGCTTAATAAATGCTAAAATTACTCAGTCAATCTTCTAGCAGGTGCTCATATCATTCCAAAGAAGGAAAGAGACTATATAGTACATGTAAATCCAGAACAAATAAAAATCTTTTAAATCATCTAAATGCCTTTAGGGTCTGTTTGTCTTATATAATTGCATATAGAACTTACAGAAAGGCCAAATTCCTTCCCTAAAAAAACTTAGAAATAACATGAAAATCACAAAAGTTCCCAATAGTTAGAAACCATAATAAAAGTCCCTATTTGCCAGCAGAAACAGAGATTCAGGTGAGTCAAAGAAGGTTCTGATTTTATGATCTCCTAGTGCCCCAATCACCCGTCAGAACTACCAAACAATGACCTCCAATCAATACGATGAAAGGGGAAGACCTTATGGAAAGCCAAATGTCCAACAACTTGGCTGAGAGCCAATTAAAAACATATGGTCTTGGTCAACTGTGCCAGTCAACTCGGAGGAAACACCATTTAGGCCTACTTCATTCTTTCAATTTTAAAAAGTTACTCTTCTCATGCATCTTTCTAAACTGATTTTATAAAGAGTTCATTGAGAAGCAAGTCCAGATTACTTTTCCATCAATTAAGAGTCAAGTCGTTCTGAAAAGCATTACTTTGTAGACATATAGAAGATCAATTGTGCTTGTAACTCTGCCCCTCTGTTAATGTCAGCATATTTCAAACACGTGTACTTCAATGTCCTTTTTGTGTGTGTGTGTTTTTCCTCCTAAAGGAGTCAAAACCGTGTTCAAATTTCCTCATGCACTCGTTAATCTGAAGTAAACTGCAAATCACTGATTAGAAATCAGGGCTCTTGTTTAGGGAATCAAGATCATTTCTTAAGAGATTAAAAAAAAAAAAAAAAAGGTTATCATGGTTAGCAACTTAAAGAACTTCTGAGTTGGCACAACTGGAGGAGAGTTCGCCTGACAGCTCCTGGTGCCCCATGGCCACTCGCACACCCCCTGAAGGCTTTTACACCTTCATGAAAGTGATCATTTCATTTTTTTTTTTGAAGGGGGAACAAGCAAACCTCAAGTTCATCTTTTCCGTGGCCACGTGAACTCTTTACCCCCAGGGTCTCCTCCGGGGCAGCATGAGAGAGACAGCAAAGCCATAAAGTGCTCCAGGCCCCCCCCCCCGAGGCCACCAGCAGGGCCAGGCGGCCAGGGAGCAGCCCCTGACACCCAGTCCCCCAGGCTGGCCTGGGACCCCGGGGGGCGGGAGACCCACTTCCTCGGGGTGAGCGGACGGAGGGGAGCCGCCTGCACCGCCCCACTCACCTGCGATTCAGGGGCCGGACCCTCACGGCCACTTTGACCGATGCCATGGCTCATCCCGGCCCGGCCCGGCCCGCGCGGGGTCCCACTTGGCTCAGCTCCCCGCGGGCGCCCGCGACGCTCGCCCCGGACTCCGGCCGCCGCCCCCGCCCACTTCCCCCGCGGCCCCCGCCCCTCGGCTCCGGCCGGACCCGGCGTCCCGCGGCGGCCCCACCTGCCGGGCCACTGAGCATGCCCAGCGCCGCTCCGCCCCGCGTGATCCGCCGGGCTCGGCGGCGCCCCGGGCGCGGAGGGCGGGACCGCGCGGCCCGGCTCCGCCGCCTGGGATCGCGGAACCGGGAAGCTGGCGTGGAGGCCAGCGGCCTGGAGCCCCCGAGGGCGGCCAGGGAAGGGTGGTTTTAGGAAAACTGGGACCCCCAACCTCCTCCCCGTGGGAAACTGGGGAGGAGGTGGTCGCGGTCACGGAGGGCCGGAGCGAGGACCACAGTCCCGGAGGACAGAGGACCGCGAACCGGGTTTCAGCCCGACACCGGGACCTGCCGGCCCCGCGGGCAGGAGGCGGCTCCTCCGGTTCAGAGAGCGAGAAACTAAGGCGCAGAGGGGAGCTCCTCCGGGCCCTTCTCTGCTGCTCTGTGTGCTTCAGGCGCCGCCATTCAGGGATACAGAGAAACTGAAAGTTAAAAAGGCACCAGGAGATCAACCAGAGGACTTGTGTGCATGCATATGAGCCCAATCAGGGAGGGGGAGCATGCGTGGGGAGAGGTTTGAGATGGGAATGGGGGTGGGGGAGAATGAGGACAAATATGTGATACCTTAATAAAGTAATTTAAAAAAAAAAATTTAGCCCTAACCGGTCTGGCTCAGTGGATATGGCGTTAGCCTGCGGATTGAAGGGTCCCGGGTTCGATTCTGGTCAAGGGCATGTACCTGGGTTGCAGACACATCCCCAGGAGGGGGTGTGCAAGAGGCAGCTGATCAGTGTTTCTAACTCCCTATCCCTCTCCCTTCCTCTCTGTAAAAAAAAACAAATAAAAAAAAAACAATAAAATATATATATTTTAAAATAAATAAAAATTTAAAAAAGCACTAGATGTTTTTAATGAGGGTGAACATTGCTATTTTGGCTGGAACCAGATCTTAATTATACTTTCTTACACTTATTTACAATTTAGTAGTTTAGTTGTGTTTTTGTGGGGGTTTTTTAATATATTTTATTGATATTTTACAGAGAGGAAGGGAGAGATAGAGAGCTAGAAACGTCAATAAGAGAGAAACATCGACCAGCTGCCTCTTGCACACCCCCTACCGGGAATGTGCCCACAACCAATTTACATGCCCTTGACTGGAATCGAACCTGGGACCTTTCAGTCCGCAGACCGACGCTCTACCACTGAGCCAAACCGGCTTCGGCAGTAGTTTAGTTTTAATCATAAGGGATTTAGGAGTGTGGATGACCCTCTAATTAAGTGTTAGGGCCTCTAGTAGAAATGAGGTCCTACCCAGCTTTTTTTTTAGTGAGTTACCCCTTCTCCCCTCCCCAACCCCATCCTCCAAACCCCACTCCCACCCCCTGCGCCCAGCCATCACCTGGATGTAAATTCACTGGTGCAGTCCTGCATGTATGTGTGCAGTGCATTCACTCACACACCCAGAGTCCACCTAGAAGCCACAGGATCACCTGCAGCTGATATTTAATTAACTGAGGCATCAGCTCTGCCTTCCTCCTGCGGCCTTGCTCAGGAGGCTCAGCACCACAGCCCAGCCCACCCCCGCTCGAAGATCCCACCTTTCAGGCCCCGTGGCTGTCAGATGGGGACTGGCAGGCCCGCTGAATACAGTGCTCGGCTCTCAAGATCCACTTTGGCCCCTAAGGAGGCCACAGAGGGATAATCTGCCCTCCCCCTTCCCGCTCCCCGCCAGTATTTCACATCCTGGGGACGTCCTGAGCTGGCTAGCTGGCTGGCTATGACCCCAGTTCCTATGAAGGGAAGAGGACCAGGTAACGAGGGGCTGCTCCTTCAAGAAGCCACGCTATAATGGAGGCCGAAAGGAGTGCCGGCGGGGCTCCAGGGCGTGAGCTCCCACACTGGCTTTGGGAGTCCTGAAGTCTGAAATACTGGGTGCCTCTGAGGCTTTTCCTTACTGCATATCAGCAGCAACTTCAAGGAGCTGGTTAATGCCTTGAGATGTTGCCTACCAACATGTGACTCACTCAGACTAAAAATAAAAATAAATCACTATATCATCAGTTTCCCTAGAGCCCCGCGGCTAGCGTAGCATCGCATCCCTTGGGTTGCTAGAGCTCTGAAAACCCAGATTATTCTTCCCTGGTGCCGCGGATTTGACCTCCAGGCGGGGATTTGCAGGCCCTGGGAGCGGGCAGAACATGCGCAGACCAGCCGGCTGGTTGGAAGCCGGGAAGGGGCGGGCGCGGAGCTTCTGCAGCCCCAGGCAGGGGCGGGGTCCGCCTTATATGGGAGCCGAGTGGGGACAAACTGCCTGGGCCTCGCTCCCAGCAGGGCGTGATCCGGCACCCTAGGGTGCCACCTGCGTGGGTCGGGCGCTCGGCGCACGCAACACCAGAGAGTTCCACACTCTGCAGAACTAGCCTCATTCTGAAAGACCACGAGTCAAACTTCGTGGTTCTAGTTTGCTCATTCAAACGATTCTCTGTGCCTGGGTTTTGGTTGGTTGCTTGGGAGATTTCACTCCTCACTTGTTAGTGTGTTTCCAATAGCCTGCAGGTGCCTGTAAACCCCCATCCTTCCGGTGACTTCGCCATTGGACACAGAGACCATAGCAGACCCGCAGACACTGCAAACCCCAAACAGCGCACCTGGAGCTTATGAATGGGGACATGGCAGTAGGGCTTCAGCTCACACTAAGCCAGAGAATATTTCGAATGGAGAGTAAAAAGACGCTTTTGAAAGGGAAGATTAATTATAAGATAAGGGGTTGGCTCAAACTTTAAAGTGCATACTTTTGAGTGCAAACTTTAACCCATACGAATGAATCATCTGCCGATCTTGTAAAACTGCAGATTCTGATTCTGCAAATCTGGAGTGAGCTGCTGCATTTTCAACAGGTTCCTGGGATTGTGAATGCTTATAGTCCTCCACCCACACTTAAGAGGAGCTTTGAAATACAGTGAAAAACATTCATGGGTCTCAATGCAGTCCAAAGGGTCAGTGAATAGAATTCAGGAGTTCATATCAGTCATGTATCCTGACCTAAAAGTCCAAAATTTAGCAGCTTAAAACGAGAACTATTTATTATCTCTCACAGTGATTGGGTTGCTGATCTCACCTTCTTAACTTATCTATGGGGCAAATGGCTGGAGGTGGGTTCAGTTGGGATGACTGGCAAGCCTTTTGCCTCTATCTCTTTTTCATCCTAAAAAAAGCTTAGACCACATTTCTATTTTTTAATATATTTTAATTTATTTTAGAGAGAAAGGGAGAGGTAGAGATAGAAACATCAACAATAAGAGACTCATGATTGGCTGCCTCCTGGTTCATAGGTTGATGCTCAACCACAGAGCAACAGTATATGAAGTTTCTTTGTTTGGAAAGGCAGACTCCTTGCAGGGTATGCCCAGTGACTGCTGTCCCATTGACCAAAGGCAGCAAATTTAACATCAGTGTGGGAGATGTCTCATTGGAGCCACTAAAGTTACAAATTTGTCAGAAGGTCCATAAACTTTGATGAGAAAAAATAGATATATATTTCTGTAATAGCCTCTAAGTAAAATGAGGTAGTGGTAGTAATACCAGAGATTTTGACACCTCTAAATATCACAAATATTTTCTTTTTAAAAATATATTTTATTGATTTTTTTACAGAGAAAGGGAGAGGGATAGAGAAACATCTATCAGCTGCCTACTGGGGATGTGCCTGAAACCAAGGTACATGCCCTTGACTGGAATCGAACCTGGGACCTTTCAGTCAGCAGACCAACGCTCTATCCACTCTGAGCCAAACCCGTTTCAGCATCACAAATATTTTCGTGTCAAATTAGAATTGCTGCATCTTTCTCAAGTTGTTAAAATCATTATTACTTTGAAATTATGCTAGTCATTAGACTGACACTAACTGCTATTTGTGTTATATTTTAATATAACTATATGTTCTTAATCACAAATTATTTTTCTTATATCTTGATAGTTGTATTGCATTATAATTTTCTTTTTAATCTTATGTATTTCATTTCATGCATTTAAAAATGTTTTTCTGAAAATATTTCCACCAGACAGCCAAAACCATACATGGCACAAAAATGTTTAAGGACACATAATTTAGAAATTTATTTGGATGAGTAAAGGGCATTTCTATTTTTCTAAAAAGGTTGAATGATGCCCTGGCCAGTGTGGTTTGGTTGGTTGGAGTATTGTCCCATACACAAAAAGGATGAGTGTGGGAGGCTGACAATTGCTGACAATTGCTGTTTTTCAATTTGATATTACACTCTCCCAACCCCCCCAAAAAAAGAATTTAAAAAATTGAATGGTGATGGAAAGGGAAAGAAAAGATCCCAAGCCTGGGTTAAAAACCAAATGGTGCTAAATGAGATTGAAGTATTAACCCAGTCACCAATAAGGTGTGTGTGTGTGTGTGTGTGTGTGTGTGTGTGTGTGTGTGTGTTTATTTTGTTTGCTTGTTTTGATGTAGGTTATTTGGGTCTCCATTTATTGTTGAATTCTTTTTTCTCTCTAATGTTCAGCAATCTTACTACTGCCAAATAGTTGTGATTTAAACCCCCTGAGTCTTAGCTTCCTCATTTCAAAGTGAGATAGCACTGGAATAGAATGTTCACTCCACCTCTACGAAATACTTGAGTCATCTTGAAATACCATTATCAGGAGGAAAAAAAACTATATCCCTATCAGCTATATATACAGCTATGTATTTTCCCTCTAGCCTCCAAGGAATAAAATTGATTACTTTCTCACAAGCATGACTTTTAAAAAACCTTGATAAACAGCAACCTGGCACACTTAAATTGGAATAAATGATACAACTGACATCTCAGAAGCTCATCTGTTTTCCTGTG